ACAGAAGAATGCCATCTTGAAAAATGACTGCTACTTCCTATTATTTCTAATATAGGTGAAAGTAAGGTTGCTTCCAGGGCAGCCATATCGATGAACAATATTTTTGCTGAAAATAGCATTAGTTTCAGAAGTAGCATGCCTTTGGAACATCCCAAAAATCTTCTGCAAAAGAACATTATTTTTCAACCTCTGCTGAAGGGGAAACATTAAATGATGAAAAAGTTGCCATTAATTAAAAAAAGAAAATGGTCAAAATCAGCTTTTGTGCAAAGTTGCCATACACTATAAATAAAAGGGATATTTGAAGAATCTATATTAGGAACAAAGGTATTTTCTAAGATAGGGTGTTAATTTTTTTAAAACATTTTTAAAATTAACTCAAAATCAGAAAGTAATTACAGTCCTAAAAAATGAATTTTATACTCAAGGAACAAGTGTTTTAATTTTAGGAAGAGACTTGATTCATACATAAACTGCCTTAACCCTAGAACTACAAGCAGTGCTTCATTAATGAAACAATCTTGCCCTGATTAGTTAGCTTTTGCTTTTATGAAGTATGGAATATATTCTTCCATTGGAAGACTGAAAAAAGTTAGGGTTGACGTAACTGCTTTAGGAATTATTAGCAAATGATTTAAAGAAACCAGTCATTTACTTATTGGTCATGCATACTTCTGTCTGGGTTTTTAAAGCTTGAGATCTTCACTTAAATTTAACCTATTTTTAGAAGTAACTTCATAATGTATCATTGCAGTTGTCGTGGGTGCTGCATGTGGCAATTCCATCTCTGTTAACTTTTCTTGTGAGTGCACTCCTTTAGCTGTTGGGTGTTATCCTCTTCCAAAAGAAGAGCAGTTACTGACAATTCCTGGATCCTTATGCTAGGCTCTGGGCTGCAGGACTCTAGGTATCAAAGATTTTCCTTGGCATGTCCAACTGAGTTTGGGTACTTGTAATTTTTTGTTCGGGAAAACATGTCGTATACAGTAACAAATTGACTATAGAGAAAGAAATGTTCAAAAATAATAAAATGCAGTCTTTATTTTGGTCTATTTTCTTATATATTATATTGTAGTCTTTAAGTACATGACTTTTTCATGCAAAACCTCTATTGATTTCATTATATAGGTTGGGTATTGCACAGCTAATAAGTCAAAGACACAAAGGGAGTGGAACAAGAAAATATGTATTTTATTTTGTAATTATATGTAATTATTTTACATAAAAACAGGTTAATGGATTTGGTGTAATTTTTTATCATTGTACGTGAGATTAAATTTGCCCAGTCATTGAGCAGGATGGCTTATATGTAGCAAGAGAGGCAAAGGTATTGCACAGCTTGTCTTTAATTGCTGGTTGGATAGTATGCAGTACATGAAAGTGTCAGTGAACTATAAGAATTAAAAAATAAAAAATGCGTAGCTGCTTCTTTCAACTGAAATAAACTAAATATAAAACCAATCCTAAAGCAAAAAAATCATTGTCTTAGAGACAGTATTGCTATGGATAGCTATAAGCAGTCACAAATAAGGTTGTTATGTATTTTACCTTTAAGTGATTTGGTTTTCAATCTTCATATTTTTTTAACATACGCTTTGCTTCCACACATTACAAAAATTTGTTGAAAGAATATTTGTAAACTCAGGTTGTGAAGTAAAAAGATATAAAAGAAGAATATCTATGATACCTTAACTAGAGCAACAATACTTAGGTAGGTCTGTGTCTATGGAGGGTCCAGTATAAAAATACACTAGCAGTGGTTCTCAGCCTTTTTTGTACTGGGACCATTTGCAAAGATGGCTCGTCCAAACCTACACTCACCTGTCCCTGCCGGTGTCCATCCGCCACTGCCCTGCCCCCCCCCCCCCTTCCACAGCCTCAGCATCTGGCCACCCAGCTGCTTTACCCTAGTGCTGGCAGGCACCTGCCCCCCCACCCCAAGCCCTCCACACACATACACATCACCCCCACTACAATCCCCAACCTCTGCCCCTCCAACCCCTGCTCCCTATACACTTACCTTCATCCAGCTTCCACAACCCAGCCTGGCTGTGTGCTGATCATGCCCCAAGCAGCTGCTTGCAGGCTGGAATGTTGCCAACCTGCAAGGGGAAACTTGTGATTTCCCAGGACTTGCTCATAACCCTTTGAAATATTCTTGTGACCCACTTTTGGGCTCTAACCCATGGGTTGAGAAATGCTACACTATAGTTTATAATAGGGGTGCACTGATAGATTTTTTTGAGCCGATACAAATGGCCATTTCTTAATGAGCCATATTGGCTGATACTGATCTGATTGCTGATATGCAGCCAGAAAGCTTGTAGAGCAGCATCTGGTTGGTAAATTTGTTGTGCGGGAAGGGGCATGGGGATGGCAGATCAAGGCCTCTGCAGTGATGAAGGGAGTGGGGCTGAGGCTGAGGCAGAGGCAGGTGCTGCGCAGCTGGGGTGGGGCATGGGATGGAGCTGTGAGTGACTTGTTTGGAAGGCGTGGGACGGGGGGTGGTTTCTGTCGCTGCATGCCCCAGGAGGGCATGGGGGCATGAGCCCCTGGATCTACGTGTGGGGTGAGGGTGGGCTGCTACTGTGGGCTGGGGCTGGGGTGGTGCTGGGCACTTCCTGGCTGGGGGTTAGGCCATGCTACACTCAGGGCAGGTGGACAGTGGTGCTGGGGGTGTTGAGTGTTTGGGGGGGGCCACAGCCACCCCAAAATTCACAGTAGCCCCCTCACAGCACCCCCACCATCCGCCTTGCCACCTGCTGGGCTTGCCCCTCCTTCTGTACTCACCACCTGCAGGGACCATGGGGGTGGGGGAGTGAGGCCAGTGCTGCTCACCCTCCTGCCCCTGCAGCATCCCGCTCCTGCTCTCCCCTGTGCCTCCGCCTCACCTCCAAGGGGCAAGGGTGGGGGGAGGGGTCAAGGCCAGCTCTGTTGGCCTCAGCCCCCACATTTCATCCACTTGGTTGCTGCCACCTCCAGGGAGCACCGTCCCCTGTGTCCTCACCATTATGGTGGTGCTCTGCTGCACCGCCACTTTTTGTCCAAACGCTGTATTTGCACTCTGGTTGTTTCTGTCAACTAACCAGAGTGCGAATAAAGTGTTATGGACAGACAGACTACATTTTTTATAATATTAGAATACTAATTTCATTACTGAAGATGCCCTATATTAAAAGTAAGACCTGCAGAGACATTTAACCAGTGTCACAAAGCCATCTTGCCACAATGTCCAGCAAAGCCACAATGTCCAGCAATGTCACAAAGCCATCCTGCTTGTGTGTTCTTTTATTTAAAAAAAGGTACTTGACCAAAATGTGTCCTTTAAAACTTCGATAAAAAGGCGGACACTGGACAATTTTATTGTTTTCTCTGTTGGGTATAATGGGTGATGCTTTTGGAAGAGGGTCTTAAAAGTTTTTAGAAAGCTTCCAAATTTCAAAATAAAATGGCCTTATTAGCCTCAAATTTATGGAGAGGCAGTAATCTCTCCATAGCTAAGGCAGCAGTTAGCTTTCCATTATAACTGTGACCTTAAAGTATGCATTTTTAGCATAGTTAGAGGGGAGGGGAACTTCTGATATGCTGAAAAAGGCCCTTTTCATTTTAGATTTCAAATACCTGGTCTTAGGCCAGTTGAATTCAAAGGTGAGATTTGAAGTAAAATCATGCAGGCAGTCTCTTGGATGTTGAAAATAGAAAAATGTATAGATCATGTTCAAGATTTTTTTATGCAGGTTTTTTTTTATAATATACCTCAGGCATATTTGATGGAGAAACTAAAACTTGGTATAATTAAAAGACAATAGGGGACTGTATTTACTGCCTTTAATAGGTTTAAACAAGTGAAGTTTCAGATTTTAGAAATTACTCATTGCCAAACTCAAAACATTAGTATGTTCCAATGGACTCTAGTGATTTTAAAGAAAATCCATCTAATCTGCTTTTCTTTTTCCTTTTCCCACCCCTGTAGCAAGTGTGTGTGTGTGTGTGTGTGTGTGTGTGTGTGTGTGTACACAGGCACGCATGCACACACACACACGCACACATACACGCACTGACCTCCCAAACACCCTATTCACATCTGTGTTTGTTCAAAAGAAGCTTCTCGTATTAAAGAATGCACAAACTTTGAGCACACATTCTGAAGCATTCAGACAGCTGAATCTGAATGCAGAATCAGACAATCGGAAGGATGCGAGTTTTGCCTTTGAACATATTTTACTGTAAAAGTAATGCATTCATTTCTTCTTTTGACTTTGCTTTGCAGTTCATACTTTTGCCACCTTGAGAGTTCACTACTTTAATGTGCTGTCTTTGGGACGCTCATTGAAAAGTCATTTGGAAATAGAGGGCAAGAAAGAATGCTGGCATTTGTTAAAATGTGCCTTTTGATAGAATCACATTATACCAGTATTCTGCTAAATGGATCAGATGCTACTAAATAGGCTTCTGGATAAAGTTCAGTTAGCTGTAACTTATAAAAACATATATGTTTTGAGACATGACTCCCTGACATGACTTTCTCCCCATGCAATACTACTGCAGTTGACATCAGTGAAAGCACACAAGTAGGAAGTGATTTCAATCAGTTTAAATAATGGTTGGTTGCCAAGGCATTTTCTGTGAAGGGTTCTTTATTTTGACACTTACTCCCCATTGGCCCACAAGAACCATTTTGCTAATGTTCCAGGAAAACTGTAAAAGCCAACCTCTTCTCTTGAGCATGAGATGGGTATTCTTAACCTACAGCTTTAATTTTATTTTCTCCCTTTCCTGTATGAGATGGATTACAGCTTTGACTTCAGTTCAGATGAGGAAGCAATAAGAAAATGCAGTAAACCTGATTTTGAGCTGAGCCTTATGCAGTTTTGCATATATTCTTTTATATGCAAATTATTTTCTTTGGCATAAACATAAAAAGGTAAAATAGTGTGAGTATGTACCTGCTATTTCGCTCTATGAGAAACTGACCACAACTATTTTTTTTTGTCCTTTAGGTGGCAGCATATGACTTTAGTCTTCCAATAAGCATTAATTGTAATGAGGTTCCACCTTCACAACAAAGCTCTGAACCTACAACTCCTTCTGGATCTGTAAAACACATCATTGTTCCTCGTCCCCAAATGGTGACTGTGGCTGTTCCTTTATGTACAGTTCAAGCAACTGGTATGTAAGCTGTAGATGTACACAAGTGCTCGGTATTTATATCAATAGGTACATGTTATTCTCTATATTGCCTTTGAAAGCATTTATTAGTTATTTACCAAAGTAAGTATTCAAGCTAAAGAACTGAGGTGGGTGGAATTTTCTAGGTAATTATTGTAGCATTTACTCTAATAAATAATTCAGAAATGTAAAAAAAATATTGCTGAATCTCTTCACTCAAGTTGTATACATCTTAATATCTTTGGAGCTAAAATTATACTGTGTTGCCCTTATTTCTAACAAGAAATATGGTATAGTCAACACCAAAATGCTGGGGGGAAAAAAAGTATGGGAAAAATGCTTATTTTAATTCTGTCATTTCTAAGTCATTATTTGTATCTTTTAATTTACCTACAATCCAGTTTCTTATCTAGCTCCTGATGGATAGCCCTATCAGTTGGTATACTAGTCCTATCATCTGGAGTAGTTAGTGAGCAGTATGGAAAAGTGACACAGCTCTCATTATGTGTCTTTCCTGCGAGGCTCCATCAAAATGAGGGATTGGTGTTGTGTATAACAGTTAAAAACTTGGCTCCTCAAGAATGGCCCTAATCTAATCTGAACAGAATTACAAGTGTTTGGTTCATTTGTTTTTGTACATGCTTATATGCAAATGTATCTTTGCTGGCCTTTAAAAGGCAGATTGTTGCCTAAATTTACAAGCATTATGCCTCCAGGAGCAACCTGGTAGCTTGTACAGTCTTGTTCTGCTTTATTAGAAAAAATTAACTGTATTTTTTGCTTGTCTCAACTGTCTTGCTTACCTTTACCCTGCAAACACCTACTGACACTGCTAATATTCCTCTTCTGGAGATATTTATATATGCATTGGTTGCCTGAATTGAGGCTTAAGTGCACATATGGTTGTCTCAGGCTGTATAAAGATGTTCATTTGTACTGGCAGAAATTTCTTCCAGTAGAAAAATAGTTTGGGACCTTGCCTGCACATACATTCCTCCAGCCCTATGGCTGGAGAGCTTCTTAGGTGAGCTCTCCTGTTAGGAGGACTAGAGGGCTGCCCCCTAGGCCACTCTGCTCTTATGGGAACCTGGTGATTGACCCTCTGGCCTCTCTCCTGCCTGGTAAGTGGGTAGACTGTCAAGTGACAATTGACTATTCCTATAAACTAGTGGCTGCCACATACAGCTGGGGAGTTTCATAGTTTCTAGGGTCAGAAGGGACCTTAGTAGATCATC